CTTTGTTATTTATTCTATTAAAAAAACAAAAATTTTTTTTTTTTTGTACGACAAAATTAATGTTGACAAAAAAAAGGAGGGTTTAAGTTTTAGGGTAAATTTTTGTCCCGCCCCCCCCCCCCCCCCCCGCCCCCTTCCATTACAGACACACAGCGAAGGAAGTCCTGATTACAAGCCTTAGCAATCGGAAATAGCAAGCGTAAGATCTTCTTTTTTTTCATTTTTGCAAAATTGATTAAGTTATAGTTTTAAACAATAATGAGTATCATTATTTTTGAGTTGATTAATATATACGATGGTGCGTAAGATTTGCTGTAGATATCATTAATATGTAAAACGAACTTATTTGCCAATTATTTCAAATTAAGATAAACGAATTAAATACAATAAAAAATAATGAGCGAATAGCTACAATGCAAACAAGAACTACGGGGACCATGAAAAAATTTTTTAAAGTTTTGTTCGAAATGTAGAAATTAGATAGGTTCTTACTTTAGTGATTGATTATCCTGAAAAATAACTATAGTCTAAGAAAGATTTTTCACTTTATGTATTTGTATTAGTTGAATGAGGCTAGAGAATGTATGCGAATTCCACATTTCAGCCGTAAAATGGCTGCGCTAACAAGCTTTTTTTACAGAGAAACACTTTCGCAGTTAAACTATAATCTTAAAAAGTATTAAATCAACAAAAGAAATATAGAATTTTAGATTATGACATGTTAAATATCGAATCAGTTGCAATAGGGCTTTCTTATGACTACTTTTTTGACCGTCGAGCATGCCTGATTATTTCAAGTTCATTTTGAACATAAGTACAAGAACTCCATACATTCTATCTTACAGCTCAATCTTATTTCTAATTCAGCAGCTATAGTTTCAGTGAACATTGAATGTCGACTTTATATCTAAGCATGATTCATACGACTGAACACGCGTATCAGCGTTATACTTTACACTTTTCTTTAGCTTCAGTTTCCACTAATCGTTTATAAATGGCTTGTTCAACATATCGGTTGATCAGATAAACATTCCCATTCGAAATTTAAAAAAATCAGATTTTTAAATATAGTAACCTGCAACATAAGAACTAACTCGACATTATTTTAGAAGTACTGATTATTTAGAATCTCTCAAGCGGTACTTGTGCAGTTTAAGCACACCCACTCCATATTTTCACACTGTGATTGGTGTGCACAATAACCTATTTGTATATGAGAATGTGCTCGAACTCACATGAGCTCTTT